GTGTTAACAAAGGGAGAAAACCCTTGTGCAAGGTTCTGGGGACCTACATGTGAACTGCAGGGACCAAGGACTCTGTCCCTAAAAAGGTGAGTGCAGGTGGGAACTGACACAAGGACAACTCATCATCACCAGCATCCTCAGCTGTGGAAAGGGAGTTGAAGTGCCCAAACGTGACAGTACAGGGCTGGAGAGGGGAAGGAGCCCCCCCTGCAAACACGAAGGAGCAAAGGGAAATGTAAATTACAGGACAGAGAGCAAATGGGAGAAAAAAAAATTGGTGAAATGGGCTGAAAAACAGAACCCAAGCAGCAGCACTGTGTTATTTGGGTTTAGAACCCCTGTGAGAGCAGTGATCCCACACAGCACCACCTTTAATTGCTCAGAAAAGCAGCAGAAATGTGATTTTTATAAAAATACATACCGCAGGATATGATTGTAAAACCAATTGTAGTCACTGCATACAACTCTATCCCTCCCCCAAACGCTTCATCTCTCCCCCCAAAAAATAGGACTGCATTTATCTTCAGGAAATCAGCACAAAAGCATGTTTTCTAACAAATACACTGCATTTTTTTTCTGTTTGAAAAGAAGAGCAGAGCAGTCCTGCTAACTGGGGGTTGGTTTCTTCCACGAGTTGTAAAATCCAGCCCCGGGGATAGAAGTTACCTTCGCTGTAAAACAATCCACCAACTGGATTTCATAATCTCTGTCCTCTTTCTCTCCCCACAGCAATATTTTTACAGTGTTTGCCCTCAAACCAGTTTTTCATCAGCCGACATGTGTAATTACCACCAGACAGGTTTTGGATAACCCATCCCCTGGTGCAGTTTTTCCTCCCACCCTTATGTTGCACAGCTGCTAACCTACCCAATCTGGCCTCTTCCAGACTTGCTTTGAAAGTTGAATTTGACCTTTTCTGGACCTCAACATTTTAAATTATCGAAAAAAATGCCAGTTTAAATTTTTTTTTTCTGAGCTTGAAGTGTGCTAATCCTTGGAATTGTTGAAGGTCAGGTTGGACAGGGCTTGGAGCAACCTGGTCTAGTGGAGGTGTCCCTGCCCATGGCAGGGGGGTGGAATATGATGAACTTTAAGGTCCCTTCAAACTTAAACCATTCCAGTATTCTACGATTTTGTGATCAAGGCAGGGGGTAGTAAATGCTCCTCAGGATTTATTTTGGGTTTTACCACATCGAAAAAGAAAGTGCCAGTGACAGATAATTTGGCTGCGGTTGACAGAAGGGACCTGGGGAACCCCCAGCTCAGCTGATACCTGACCATGGCACACCAGGTTGATGCTGCTCTCAACTCACCTGTGCATGGCAGCCTGGCTCCAGCTCCTGCACATCTGATGCCAGAGCATAGGACTGTGCCAAAAAAGCCAAGGCTCCTCCAGAGCTCATAATTATTATTTTTAAAGGTAAGAGGGCACAGTTTGTTCCCCACCTCCACCCTCAGGACAATAGCCAGAAGGAAATTCTCCTTGGTGCGTGCATGAAGCAAGAGCAGACAGGATTTGTCCCTCGGACTGGTAAACCTGGGGCATCCACCTATATCTTCAGGCACCCCCCAATTAAAACCCAGGCTTGGTGCTGCCGGTAGAAGTGTGGAAATGGTCTCCATAATCACCCATTTGGACTTTGCACTGGTCCTTGATGCCACGGAACCTCATGGACCATTTTCTTGACCTGTCCATGGCAGGCGGATGGAATTAGATGATCTTTATGGTCCCCTCCAACCCAAATCCCATTCTGGGACTCCATGATTCTATAACCTCTCCCACTCATGCAGACCCTCACGGCAGCCCAGTTCCTTGGACAACTGTATCCACCACACCTCCAACAGCTGCAAAGGCAGGGATCTGCCCCAAGACCTGGTTTCTTCTCACAGCTCTGTCACCGATGACTGACGTGGGGTCACCAGCACCATCAGCAGGGTCTGTCTACCCCATCCCACAACTTCACAGAATCACAGAATCATTTAAGTCGGAAAAGCCCCCCAAGACCATGAAGTCCAGCCTGTGTCTGATCCCCACCTTGTCCCCCAGCCCAGAGCACTGAGTGCCACGTCCAGTCGTTCCTTGGACACTTCCAGGGATGGGGATCCACCGCCTCCCTGGGCAGCTCCTTTCAATGCCTGACCACCCTTCCCAGGGAGAAATTCCTCCTGATGTTCAGCTTGAAGTCTTGGCTTCACAGGAGGCCACATGTCATGTATTTGGACATCAAGAATGACATGTGTGGGGCCAGAAATGCTGATGCATTTCCCTCTGGCGGGGCTGGAGGAAGAGGAGCAGAGGCTGAAGCCAGGCCAGGACCATGCAGCGCATGGTAGAGGTGATTTCTCCCATCAGACCTTTGCCATCTCCTGGCATCACTTTCCCCAAAGTGGAAACTTCAGACGGGAAAGCTCTATGGGAAGTTATTGAGAAGGTCTGAGCTAATAAAATCCAAACAATTTGTTTAAATGTTATTGCTACAGCAACATAACATACATCGAAACAAAACGCTTTGTTTGGTGAAAAAACTGGGATGATTTAGGACAGAATGGAATTCTGAAATCTCAGTATTTCTCTTGAGAGGGAGTTAGTATTTTTTCCCATTAACTCTGTGGCACGGCCATGACTGGTGGGAAATGGCTTTGATCTGGCACGGAATGAGGCATCAGCTGAGCATCCCATCCACCAAGGCTTTGTCCTTTGCAATACCAACTTTACTCCCCTCAGAGGCTGCAGTTCCAAAGGGAGCAGTGCCTTGGCACAGGGGGTAAAGTCAAACCACCTCCCTATAAAGGTTCCATTTCTGGGACCATCTGTCCTCAAGACCTCATGCTAATCTGTGACAGAAAGGATAACCACAGGACTCTCCAAGAGGTATAGGAAGTGTAGGTATCCTGTAAATGTTTAAATCAATAAAATATAGTCCAAATATCTAAGTACGTGATATTTTTTGCAGAAATCTGTCCCTAGGAATTCAGAGAAGTCCCGAGGAGTAGAACAGACATCAAGCTAAGCTCAGTAGTCATATTTATGCAGCCACACAAGTCTCCAGTTTCCTAGCTAAGGATCACAACATTGGACCCAAAAGGAAGAGGCCATATATTCTTGTAGTGTGCATTATTGTTCTACTATCAGTGTTTTTCTTGGATCCCAAGCAATAATCATTGAAGCTACAGTTCAGCTGGCAAACACAGCAGCAGTGCTGTTACACTAAGCTTACTTATCTTTGTTACCCATTTTGCCACCAGCACAAGCATTTAAAATCTCCCCTTAATATCCAGTACAGGACTGGAGCTGGTGGAAGAAGAGAACATCCTGCATCCCAGCTATTTGCAGATTTGCCATGTTTTAGGAAAGCCAAAGGAACTTACTGTGATCCATAGGGTTTCTTTATTTGCTGCTGTCTGGGATTTTGGCAGTCATGAGGAATTCACAGAAATATTCCTGCATCTTGAAAGCTTCAGCTCTGTACCGATGCCCATCCATCTGCTCCAAATTTTCTGTTACTGCAGGTTATTTTCTCATTTAATGTCTCTTGGTGGTCCCAGGGGCCCAGGGATCATCTCTGCTCTTGGCTTCACTGCTCCCAGTCCAACTCCATTGCTGATAAAGTCTTCCCAAACCTGGTCCAGATGCTTGAAACCCTGATTTTGTGGAACAGGTCAAACTCCAGCTCCAGCAAAACCTGGAGCTGTAGGGTCTGGCTGTAGGTGGGAGCTCATGATAGGGATGTGAGGGATGGCTCCTTGGAAAGGGTGGCACATGGTCATTTATGGTAGGTCATAGAGTCATAGAATGGTTGGGGTTGGAAGGGACCTCAAAACTCACCCAGTTCCACCTCCTGCCATAGGCAGGGACACCTTCCACCAGCCCAGGTTGCTCCAAGCCCCGTCCAACCTGGCCTTCAACACTTCCAGGGATGGGGCAACCACAGCTTCTCTGAGCAACCTGTGCCAGGGACTCACCACCCTCACAGCCAAGAAGTTCTTCCCAATATCCCATCTAAATCTTGAATGATCCCAAACTCAACTTTCTGAGGCTCAGTTTCAAGCCCACTATTCCTTAAAGAGGTGGGAGTAGGTGAGGTTTCCAGTGAATGGGTACCATGCTGAAGTCAAGACACGTTGGCTAATGATAGGAATTTCCCCCAAAGCCCTGCTCTCTGGAGCAAACATATTGGATCTAGGAGGGGCTGGTCCCCAGGGGAGTTTGGACATCTGAGATGCTTAGTTGTGTCCTGTGAGACCATTATTTGAATGAGAAGATGCTCTGGCATTAGGGAAACGAAGAGAGAACATGGGGATTAGAGTGCTGGGGAGGAACGTGAATTTCCCTGCAGGATCCTGGTGTTGTTGTCACTCCTTGTTTCACCTTCCACCACTTTTTCCCCTCTTTCTCCCATCCTCAGGTCAGGACAAGTTTTAGGCCAATACACGTACTTCAGTTAGCCAATGATTAACTGGCATGGGCTAGAGAAGGGTTTTCCAGGGGAGACCTCTGAATAAAAACTTTTTAAAAGATTGTTTTTTAACAGGCAGCAGTGGTTTGCAAGCCCTCATTGCCAGTGTTGGGTAAAACTGATGTGATAAATCGAGGGGGTCCTCTAACAGACCTGTAGGTTCAGCTGAGGTAGGGCACAAACAGATGGGAGCAGGCAGCTGTGGAGGCAGAGACAGGAGAGTGGCCCAATCCATCACCCATGGACCTCTGAGCCCTTTGCACTGCTCCCATGGGCTTCATCCTCAACCCCGTGAGAAGTGATGGGGAGCAAGAGGGACCAACTCCACCCAGAGGTGCAGCAGGATGTGACCCAGCATCAGAAGCACAGGCTGAGCCACCCTCACAGAGCACTACCAAGCTGTATTTCCAAGTAGACACCATGAGGGATAATCTTCTCTCCCCTCCCCCCTCCATATTCCTTTTCCTCCATCCTGAACAAAAGGACGTTCCCTCCCAGACCAGCAGAAGCGATAGTGTGTACCCACAAAGAGATGGGGAAATGTCAAGCTTAAAACATTTATTACTCAGATGATGCATTTTATAGCATACAGTGGGTCTGGATGTTCTATAAACAAAGACTGAATTGCCACAAAGAGTGATTAGCTCCCTTGTTTTAACAGTCTCTGAAATGCTGACAACGATGAGTTTGTGATTTCTCTAGTATGAATATCTAGTCTTTATTCTCCCCAAAACCTTTTTGCTTTTTTTTTAAATTTTTAAAAAATTTTTTTTCTTAAAGCGCTTAGTTTAACAAATATGATTAAATTAAAAATGTTGCTTTTTCAAATGCAAATAAATACATTAAAAAAAAAAATTGCTAGCGTTAACTCTGTGTTCTGCAGGACACCGCAGCTCCCCTGGTTATTGACAGTGGACTTTGCAACCCTTAATATAATTTCTCCTGAAAGAATACTGAAAATATCACCGTGACTGTCTAATAGCTAACGCCAAGAAGAGTAAAATTAGTGTAAAGCCATAAAATACCCAGCAGGGAAATAAAAAAAAAAAAAAAAATCATATTTAAGATTTTGAGTGATTTCCAAGTGAGGGATGTTATAAAAATAAGCATGAAAATAAATCATAAGTTATTCTGACAAGTTTTCTTTCAAAGCCATCAATCATGCTAAGAATAGATACTAATTAATCTCCTTCAAGGGAAGGGGGGAACCAAGCAAATCACTTACTTTTCCTTTCTTTTCCCCCACTTCTGTTTCACCTCCCTATACATGAGACTTCTCCAAACAAGGGTGAAATCTCTCATGGGGAAACCAAGCAAGTCACTTTGTGGGTAGCAAAACCCATAAGTTTGGGAAAGAATTTCACCAGGAATGAGGTGAATGAGATGCTGGGGAATCTGGCAGGGAGCCAGAAAACCTGCCCTGCATCCGAGGGAAAGGGGCATGGTCATGGTATGGAGCATCACTCCTCGCAGAGGCTTCAGCCCCTCGCTCTTGCACCAGTCCGAGGTTTGGCCCCACACATATTTGGCCCCAGGAGGTTATTTTCCCCCTTTGCTGATGTAGTCACATGGGGACAACGTAGCAAAACCCCACACAGATGATTTTTACTGAGCAGCAAAGATGGAATCTGGCTAATCTGGGGAGACATAGCTGGTGGCTTTGCATCTAAAAATACACATTGGAGAGAATTACGCTCTTTGGCGACTGTTTCTACACAAAGACAAACAAGGAAAAAAAAAAGAGAAGAAAACACTCTAGGATCCCCAGGTGCTCACCAGGCATCCCCAAAAAATTCCCCAGCATTGCTCCTCATCAAATGTCCTCATGGTGCCTCTTCTCCCAACACGGTACCCTGGTGCATGATGCCACGTGACTGCCGGCTTCCTACAGACGGCCTTCAGAAAGATACTATTGGCAGCATGTAATTTTGGGGAAAAAAAACCCATTTTTGGTCAACACTTTTATTCTCGGATATCCAACAGAGTGACTGATGTACCAAAGCAGTTAATGGCTGGACGAACCCATGTTAATAGCAGAGATAAATGGCAAGACACCAAAACCAAACAGACTCCACATAAAAGTTCTTCGTTGGGAAAAATCCCAGTGTTGGAAGGGAAAGTCATGGGCCAAGCCTGGCCAGTGGGGGTTGCAGGATTGCCCTGCAATGGGAAAATTGAATAAACCCTCACAGCAGGCAGGGGTAGGGAAACGCTTTAGCAGAAATACTGCCTTGTGGCTTACACTTTGACTCTGAATGCCTCCTGATGCACTGATGAAAATTCAAGTTTTTAGAAACAAAATCCCCAAGTCTCTGGATTTTTTTTTTTTTTTTTTTTTCTTTCGCTACATCCCAAGAAAAAATTCTAGGGGATGTGAGAAGCTGCAGGGGCCGGAGTGGTGGTCTGGATCGCTGCTGGCAGGATCCCTGGCACCCCGACCCATCAGGCTGCGTCCCTGTTATAGGACTTTTCTGCTCCGTAAAAAATAAAAAAAAAAAATGAAGACAAAACTGGTTTTCAGGTCTTCTCCCAGAAGACTGATGCTGTGCCTGAGCGCACTGCGATGGGTGTTATATCCCCTTCTACTCCACTCCCTGAGAACTCAGGGAGCAGGAAAAAACAAAGAGCAATGGGCACAACCCTGAGCCTTGTAATACTGATGGGCTTTGCTGCCTTAATGAAGTTCATCTGCTCATTAATACTCTCAAACCCCATTGCTACTAATGAAGCTGACCCAACGCAAGGCGTTGTCACCACGCAAAGTTCCTGGGTTCAAATCCATGAAGTAAAAATTCATTTTTCCAGACACTTCCGGTGCACTCAGAAATCATTTTGCTGCTTTCTGAGCAGACAGGAAAACTGAAGCTCCCGTTTTCAGCTTGCTCCTCTTGCTCTATGTGTGGAATAAAAACTGGATCAGCAGACAATCAGACGAGAATCCAAATAATTTTGAACTCCAGCATCATGACTCCCGCCTCTTGCAATGCATTTTCTGCTGAAAACTTCTGCCCTTTAAATTTTGCAGCAAAAGCTTCCTCCCCATCACGTACAGACCAACACATTCATAAGGCACCCAAGAACATACTGCACATCCAAAGAGGTCGGGGTGAAATCTCTCTTCTCTACAAGCCACCAGAAATTCAACATCTTCCTTGGAAAAATGGGTTTGAGCTGCTGTGTTCAGATCCAGCCTGCCTGGTCCGGGGTCCAAGTGCGCCGTCATCGCAGCATGAATTCTCTTATCACAGTAAAGGAAAGTAAATTGAATAATGGGAAAAAACAGGATGGGCTGCCGGCATCGTGCCTTCCTTGGCTCCTCATCTGCTGTGCAGATGGGACGGGGCAGCTTGCACCCTCATTAGGCTTCACTAAAATAAGCACCTGGAGGGATTTAGTAAGTCAAAGTGTTGACAGATGAACAAATAAGGAGACGATCAAATCTTCTTCACAATTTGGGGAGCGATGCAACGGCGTGGTGTTCCTCCGGACCAGCCTCCTCATCCTCTGGGCATTTCCTCATCCAGGTGGCATCTCAACATGGTCCCCTGCAGCCACCCTCTCCATTGGGATGCTCCAGCACGGAGCAACGAGAGGATCCTGGAGCAACCTGGGGATCCCCGAGAAAACTCTGCCTCTCTGAAAATCAGTCACCCATCCCTCAATGACATGGTGCCACTTACACCGACCACGGGACACAGCTTCTCCTGCACACTGCACACCTAGAAACACTGGATAACATATTCAGCTAGTTAGAAGCCAGGCTCAAAACCTCTATTTTTGGCTTTATCTATTTTTTTCGTCTTCTTTTTTCACTCTTTTGTTTTGCCATACATTGTTTGTCTTCTCTTTGACCAGTCTCCAAAGAAGAACATCAAACCTTCATTTCTCCCTCGTCCTGTACATCATTAGGCCCAACTATAACAGGCCTGGATTTAAATGCATAATTACAACCGTGACAGTAATTACAATAAAGCACTCCTTCAATGGAAAAAAAAAAGTATTACAAAAAAAAAAGGGTTATAGTGGCTGAGGAATAACGGCAACTTGAACAGCAAGAGCCGCAGAATCCCCTTTTTTTAGAGCCCCCAGCTCAGAGAACATGTTTCTCAATCCACCAAAGAGGTTACTGGCAAGATGACAGTGGCTATGTAACTTCTGCAGTGGCTTTTGGACTCATTTAAAACACTCCTTCTGCTTCAGCATCTTCACATAAACCATTAGCCAGCTTGTGGGAAGGCATTGCTCGATGCGCCTCCGAGCTGCTTGCAATTGTCCGTTCGACGATACAATAAAATAAGAAGAAATTACAAATGCTCGAGAAAAAGAAAAGCCAGTGCAAATAAGAAAGTCGTCCCGCTCTCCGATCTGCTCTCAAAGGGGTGGCGGGTAGGTGGGGGGACACACAGAAAGTCGAAAACAAGAGAAGGAGGGGGGTAACCTAACGCAAGCCCTGCTCGACAAAAGCCATCAATTATGAGCGTCTGGTGTAGTGTGTGTCTGGCTTTGTCCTCCCGAGACATCTGCTGCTTGCTGTCTCCTGCCAGTTGGCCAGGGCAAGGCAGGAGGACGGCGTGAAAACAATGCTAGCCCCCACTTGGATTATATATTTTTTTTTTTTCCTTTTCCAAATTCTGTGTCTTCTTTCGAAAGCCAAACAATAACCCGGCGGGATGCGCTGCTGCCGCTTGAGCAATGAGTTCAGAAAAGAAACCCCTAAAACAAAACCACGGCGGGGAGGAGGGGTGGCACTTGGCGGAGCGGCTGAAAAAGAAACATGCTTCTCCCTCCCCACCCCACGAACGTATTCTCGAGCATGCTGGGGTTTGGTCTGCTGGGGGGGTTTAAATCAGAAAAGCTTTTGCCGGATCCCATCGAGGCGCGTGTCTTCTCCTCGTCCCTTCCCACCCCACCTCGCCCTGCCCCTCAAGCCGTCAGTTTTTGGATGGTCTTGTTGTAGTACTGCGTGATGGTGGGTGTCAGGGGGTTCCAGTTGTTGGCGTGCAGCTCGATGACCTCCAGCAGCAGGGACCTCGTCAGCATGGACTCGGAGGGGCACAGCATCTTGTCGCGTGCAATCGCCAACAGCTCCGTCATCATCTCGGGCAGCTGCTCCTCCAGCAGCCGGCCAGTGCTCTGCAGCTGTTGGGAGAAGAAGGGGTCAGTCGTGGATTATTGATCCCTGTGAGTCCCTTCCAACTTGAGATAGTCTGTGATTCTATCCCTCTATCAATATTAAAACACCCCACTGCCTTTTTCAGACACCTCCCGTCCCTCCAGTTCTCCCCTGTGTGGTGCAGGCAAGGTTAAAGGCGTCGTGGCTTCTGAAAACCAAAACCACCCAGCAGCAGCAGGCTCCAAGAGCTGAGCTTGAAGGGCGAGGTTTTCAAAAGCATCAGCGCTGGGCTGCTGGAGGAGCGTATGGTTCAGCTCCCACTGACTTCAAAGGCGGCAACGCTGGATCTCTTTTGAAAAAAAAAAAAAAAAGAAGAAGAAAAAAAATCCCACCTAAAAATCACGCTATTGTCAAAACAAAGTGCAGGCTGTGATGTGGTATTCCTGCCTTCTACCTGGCCCTTCATTTACTCGCTGATTCACAGCTCCCAGTGACTCCCAGTCATTAGCTGGAATAAGCAGAACACTCCTGTGTGCATAACAAATCTTGCTCTGCCGAGATCTGCATTTATACCTGTTGTGCAGCTTTGCTGAGCACAGCCAAGGGCTTTTTCTGAAACAATTACTACTTGAAGAGCCTCCATGGAGCAGCATAAGCCTGAGGTGGTTCCACAGAGAAGGTCCAAGCTTGGGGTGGACAATGGTGAGCCCCCCGGCATGGAAGGCTCCCCAAAGCAGAGCTCCCCAAGGTCTTCACCTTAAAAAGTCAAACCCTTCTCCCAGGCTGCCTGTTGCTTAGCTGAATTTTAACCATTCAGGCTGCAATTTCAACTGCTCTCTGCAAGGAAAGCATCTATCCCCATGGGCCAATCATTTCCCAAAAAAGTAACTAATGAAACTCAGCTATATTTGTACCAGCATTTCTCTGAGAAACTGCTGCTGAGCAGTGCAAACCTCTCATATGAGCCACAGGACAGCCTTTGCTCCAACACAGATATTTCTACGCTTAAAAAATTAATGGAGGGCGAGATTTGAAGGAAGGAGGATGATATAATTTTGTGATGGGACCCCAGCTACCAAACTTCTTGAGTCCATTTACAAGTACCAGGAGTCCAGTGACAGAGTCTCAAGGGCCACCTCTTATCTCACTATGATGTCTTTTACCTACTCTGTTTTTGTGACACCCCAACTAGAGTCCTGAATCCAGCTCTGGAGTCCTCAGCATAGTAGGGACATGGACCTGCTAGAGCAAGTTGTCCCTGCCCTTTGCAGAGGGGTGTTGGACCAAATGACCTTTAAAGATATCTTCCAACCTAAACCACTCTGTCATTCCATAATTCAAAGAAGCAACACAGCTGTTTGGGTCTGTAAACGTTGCACATGCATGGCCAAGGACAGAAGGGGCAAAGCAATGAGGATTAGGGCAGATGTGCAGGTGCCTCCCTACCTCCATGGAGCAGCAGAGCACGGCGTCTTCCTTCACATCCTGAGATTGCAACAACTGCAAAAGAGAGAAGAGAGAAGCAGTGAGAAATCCATGACCTCATCATCCTCTTCCTCCTCTTCCTCCTCCTCCCTTATGACCTTCCTTGCACCTCTTCATGCAGCCTGGCTTTTGACACTTCCAGGAGGAAAGAACAGGAAATCAAAAAGAGGGAAGAAAAGAGACTGTCCACACAAAATTTTCAGGTAAACAGCGGCAAAATACAGGGTTAAATTTAGATTAACAACTTTCATAATAAATTTTGTTCAGGTAACAATGCTTTGTTTTACCCCACGGCAGGCAACGAGAAAGCACACTCATTTCACACACACAGTGACTAAATTCAACCATCAGTCAACAACACTGGAGCAGTACAGACCTGGGAGCAGCTCTTTGGGAGGGAAGGGCTCTGCCCAAGAGGCAGCCACTCACCACCAAACCTCCCCATCCCCACGGGGACACTTTGGAAAGCCTAAAAATTACCTGATGGGAAAGTTTTACATCCAATAAACCCTAATTAATACAGCTCCTTCTAGGCTGATTATACAGTGCTGCAGGTGCAATGGGTGCCAGTGAAACTAGGGAGTCTCAGGCGCACCAACTCCAACCCTGCTCTCCGTGAACTCTGTGTCACAAACATGAGCTCGCAAGCAGGAGCAACTTTCAAGAAAGACCCAAAATGTTGTTGGGCATGGCATGGGATGGTGCAGGAAGATGCTCATCCTACTTGGTTTTGACTCAGGTCATGCAGTGAGGGTCAGTGTCTCTACCTGACAGCAGCAAAGTCTGGGACCTCAGCATGTCTCACCCCACAAACCTTGAAACCATGAGCAAGGACTCTTGAAACGGGACCAAAAATACACATTTTTCTTTGTTTTCATCTTTATGACAAGTACTGGCAATGCTCAAGGCCATGGCCACTTCCATCCCATCACTTTGGGATGAACAATGCCTGATGGTCCCAAGCTAATCCCTGCATGCAGTGGGGAGTTGAGTGCATGCACTAACCACTGAGAAAAAAGGAGAAAAAAATGGGAAAACTGGCTTTATTAGTTTATGAAATTCATTAGGGCAAGGCAAACTTCGGAAAAGGAGTTGAACTGATTAAAACTGCCCTTATAAAAGTTGCTCAGCGTAACTGAATGTCCTCCAAAGTCACATCCTTTAGCTAAAATCAGAATTGTGATTCTCAGCCTTATCATCTCTCCTTCCCACTCTTGTTTTTCCTTGTTTCCTTTCCTTTACAAATAAACGCCTGTTTGTTTACCAGCTCCACAACGGCTGGAAAATAGCTGGGGAAAAAAGAGGTAATGCAAGGAATTATCATTGCTCTCAAGAGTTTTGTCTTCAGCCTCTTATGTACTCGGCAGACAGCAGTTCGTTCACTTTGAAGATGATGTTTACAGCATCTCCATGAGCACATTGTCCACTGGTTTTATCTCACATTAGCCAAAGGTTCAGCCAGGGTTTTCGAGTCATGCAACAGTGTTTTCTCCCCTCCTTCCCCCCCAGCCCAGTTTATCTTTCTGCTGAGATGGTTGGAAACTGTTAGTTAAGCCCAAGCCACATGCTCTGAGATAACTTCTCAAAAACAGCTCACAGATTCTTCACAAAAAAACGCCTGTGAGATTATTTTAAACCCAACACTATCAAGGAAAAAAAAAAATTAGGGAAAAATATAAACAGGAATAGTCCAGAAATTCCCTCCTGGGGTATTGAGCTCATGAGTGTGGGATGAAGTAGGGCCACAAATAAAATACATATTCACCTTTCTTATTTTTGCTGTTCTTTAGTAAAGAACATAACATGAAAATTCAAGCATGAAAATGGAGTTAGGGTTGATTAAGAAGGTCCAGCTCCAGCCCATCCTCTGCTGTGGTCTCCTCAATGATCCAGCTCTCAGTGGAAAAGCTGCAACTTCACTTGGGCTTTCCTTGCCCCACCTTCCCACCTGCAGGATTGAGACACACTTCCCTACCTCAAAAGGTGTTCGTGAGGATGAACATGTCACTGTCAAGCATTCAGATATTTGGTTAGGGAATAACAGTCTTACCTACCTATGATGAAACAGAATATATCCTACCCCCAGCCCTGGGCAGGTACCCTCTAACTTCATCCTTGCCCTCCTGGACCTCACCTGATGTGACTTGGCTGAACAGGGAGAATGCATGTGCTCCATCTCATCCAACCAGGTACCACTTACTCTACCTTGTCCATGGAGACACCATGTACATCACCTTGTCCATCCAGGATGTCCTCCACTGCCCCGTCCAGGCACCACATGCTCCATTGCTCCATTCAGGCATTATGTGCCCCACCTCATTCATCCAAGGCACCATGTGCTTCACTGCTCCACCCAGGTACCAAGAGATACCAGTCCCAAGCACCACAGGTGAGCCTGCCTGTGACATGTAGGCTGGGGCAGCCCACAACCTGCCCACCAAGCCCAGGTACATCCCTGTGCAGCAGAGCAGGGCCCACCACTCAGATCTGGTAGTGCTCTGGGGAACAAGAGTCCAAATCCATGGCCACAGATGGTTGTCAGCCACCTGCATCAGTGCAATGGACCGAAGAGTGGGGGATCAGAAAGGTGTCCCTGTTTCTCTGCATGTTCCTGATCATGTTTCTAGTATGCTGGGGTGCAGGCATTAACTATCTGCTGCTGACCCCTGCATGATGGGGCAGGAGGAAGCCTGGCACAGGCAATGAAGCTTGCTGACTGGAAGGACCATGCTGCCTAGGGTTGCTACTATCAACCTCTTCACTCATCTATGATGACTTGCATGTATTTCTCAAAGGGTGTTCCATCCCCACCCACGGTGCCCCATGTGAGCACCAGGCCACCCCAAAGCACCTGGGAGCTTGCTTCAGCAGGAGCACAGCATTTCCCAAAGCTCTCTGACCCCTGAGTCAGCCCTGATGGGGGCTGCAAGAAAAAAATGGTGCAAATGGTTTGAGAGGTCCAGGGAAATCACAGCCCTGAAGTACTGGCACTTGTGTGACCACCCAGCCAACTGCATCCATCGTTCGCAACCTAATTCATATTTACTTACAATATTTTAAGGTAAACACGCTATACCCATTAAATTAGCACTCCCACATTGGAATTATTATTTATTTAACCATTTATAGCTGCTCCTCCCTGCTGCATGCCACAGCCCAACTCCCACCACGGGTACCATCCCTTCCCTCTCCACCAGGTTCCCACATGGTTCAAACCGGCCACTGAACGTGGACGAGGGATTTGAAAAAGGAGCATGAGGCAGACAACAGGACAGGTGAGCTGAGACTCACATGCTTCTCGGTTTAACCTGTAATCATCCCCTGGGGGCTGGGGCTGTCTGAGAGAAAAACTTCCCTTTGCTCTCCAGCCGGTTTCCCCCTTACGGGGCGAAGCCGGGCAATGAAAGCAGCAGTTCCTGCTGGAAAGCAGACAAAGAGTCTGCTTGATTTCCTAAGAGAAGAGGCTGCATGCCAGAATCTGCCCGACCAGTCATATAATACCCAGCCTTGGTTGCGAAAGGCTTCTCACTTTTGTTTCTGGTGCTGGACTGGCTGCTCTGCAGACTGGTGGAAGATATCGGGCGCCTTCCCTTCTGAATTTCTGGGTCATGCTGAGAGATGAGCATCGGGCAAGGTCTTCTGCAGGGTCAGTGCAGTGGGCTTAGGGTACTAAATATTTGCATAAGCAACCCATAAATAAATTTTAGGGTCTTCTCCTAGAAGTGCTATGTGTGGTGGGGAGTTGCAGTGCCTTGCTGGGTGGCTCTTGAGTGTAACTGGTTTCCATGATGTGCTACTGGGACCCCCCTTCCCTGGCCTCCATGGACTCAAAACCTGCTCTTTACATCTTTGCAGAGGTAAGCACCATAAGCCACATGGGGTGGGCATGCAGTGGTAGTTGAAGGACCAAAGAAACCCCAAAACTGCAGCTGTGCCTCATCACAGACAGAACCAGCTTGGTCCTCCTGAACAGCAATGGATGCATGTGCAAGAGGTGCAGACCACCAGGAGCAAACCAGAGAGCTGAGCTGATTGGACTCATCCCAAATATTTGGGTTTATTATCTGCTTTCTGAGATCACCTGGGCTGCAGAGAAGCTGAAGTGCTTACCTGGTGTTCTCAGGGGTGCCCACACCACAAGGAGGACAGGAGAACCTGCCCCACCGCCCCTTATCAGCAAACCATGCAGGTCCAATTGTGTTCTTCAGCAATTCCCCCCCAGGAGATGGGGTGGGAGCAGCCCAACGCATACATTACCCTTTCCAGCTGCAATGATACTTCTCCTGCACGGCACAGCACTAATTACTGCGTATGATATCGCTTGCAAAATGACACATAAGCGACGCCTGCCACTAACTACCCCTCAGAACGCCGTGTTTTCTGATGCTTCGGCGATGACTACAGTGTGAGAGCGTGGAAACCTTGGAAATATCCACTGAGAGCCATGGAGAGGCCAGGGAGAGACTTGGGGAACGCCAGACTGACCACAGCCCGTGTGCTGCTCGCCCCGGCTCCCTGACGGGCATCCCGGGTTCATCCGTCCAGGTGGCAACATGCATGGACACCCAGACAGCCCCGGGCAAGGAGCTCCAGCCTCCCAACCGCTCCATGGTCCCTGCCCACAGGAATGCTTTTCATCTGCACCTAGGTCACAAGGAGGTGCCTGCCAGTATTCCCCCTGGGAGCGTGGACCACGGCCACAGGGGAACCAACTAGCGCGCTGCGAACGCATCACTCGGGGGTAGTAACCAGCTCACAGGTGTGAAACGAGGAAATGGGTGAAAATGGAGACACGTTTTGGTTGGGAAGGAAAAAAAAAATCAGCTATTTGTGCCACTTGGAGGTTAGGCAGAGCAGACATACTGTATTGGAAGTGCAGGAGAGACGATGCTTCCTAGTCTTGCTTTTAAACAGAAGTGCCCTTGGTTAAGGGCAGTGATGGACTTTGTCCTCAGTAGGATGGATTTGTTCCAGCTCTGTGGTTGGGATCATTGTGGAGACCCCCTTTTAAGAGG